TCTAGGGTCGGCACCGCAGCCTGGTCCAAAAAACCTTAGCCTAGATTCTGCAGATTTCAAATCTGGGCGCTCCACTCTGGCGTCTTGGAAACTTGTACCCTTTCTCTCCCCTATTTCCACCCACCTAATTAGGTGTCTGTTTCTTTAACCATAAAAGACGTGGGCGGAGGTGGGGGTGGTGTCTTCGCTCCCGGTTCCCCAGCCCTTCAGTAACCGTACCATCGTCCACATTACAAACATTAGAGAGGCTGGCTTCTGCGCGCCTGGCGGCGCCGGTGGAGATGCGCGCAGCCTTCAAGAGGAGCTCGGAGGCTGATCCTGGAGCCATAACTCCCAACCGAGGCCTCGGCGGACTCTGCCCGGGGCGACTCGGGCTCCAGCCCTGCCCGGGCGGGCACTGAACTCTTCAGGGTTCAAGGCGGGGGTAAGGGCTGTCTTTTCCCCCAAGGCAGGCTCGGGGAACAAAAGCGCTTGCAGGAGAGTGGGCGGGAGCTGCGGGGGTCCGCGGGAATTGACGCCCTCTCCTGGGTGGCCACTGCGCCCTTAGCCCCCCTCCAGGCGCCTGGAGCCCTGTCTCCCAGCCAAATTCCCCGGGCTTCTGCATCCCTGGCAAAAGAGCAAGGAAGGGGGTCTTTCTTGGCTCGCGGGCCCCAGAGGTCCCCAGGTGGGGCGAGTCCCCGCGGTCGAGGAAGTTCTTCTGCGGAGAGAGAGGTCATTTTTCCTTCCATTCCCCAGCCTCTGTCTTCCAGTCCCTCAACGCTTCCGAGTTACCCCATCCCTGCCTCCCCTGACGCTTCCTAGCTGAAGGCAAAAAGAACCAAAACGGGGGGGAGGCGGGGGGGGGGGGGAGTGAAAACTGGTCCACAAGTCACCGGCCTCCAAGCCTGAGTCTAGGTCACTGCCTTTAAGCCAGGCGCCCCTCCCCCTGCCAAAGAAAGTCTCCAGGACCCCCCATCCAGGACTCTTCTCCAACCGGGCTGCAGGGCCCCCATCTCCCCCAGATCGCTCTTACTCGACCAAGGCTCCTGGAATTGCTCTTCAAGATGTCCAAGATGCTCAGACTGTACACCCAGGAAATCCCCCTTACTGCGCAGACAAAGAGGCAGTGCCAGGCCCGGCGGCCGGCGCCATTCCCCCCCCTAGCCAGGCCCAACCCCCCCACCCCCACCCCCACCCCACCCGGACTCACTCCTGAACTAGGGACCTGCTCCTGCTGCCCCAACCCCGCGGTCAAGAGCCTCTTACCCCTCCTCCCTCCTCGAAGACACCTTCTCCCTTTGGGTGCCCCCATCGCCTGTGGAGGCGTCTGTAGGGATTACAGACACAGGCAAGTGGAGTGAAGTTCAGGGTTCTGAATTCTAGGTTGATGAGATGCGCTGGTCCCATCAGGGCTGCCTGTAGGTACGCCAGGAATAGGAGAGCGGAAAGGATGCGGAGTATGCATGGAGCAGTCTGTTCATATTTAATTTACAAAGCCTCCTTGGAACCCCTGGTGGGGTGGTCTCTTTAGATGCAGCGCTCCTCACCCGTCGCTCTCCCCCACCTACGCAGCTCATTAAAATGCTCAAATTCAAATAGGAAGATTGATATCAGAGGCCCCAAACTGACCCACCTCCAGAGACCGCCTTGGCCAGAGTGAGGGCTGGGGGGCCAAGAGCCCCCAGAGTGCTCAGTGTCAATGGAAAAACCGAGGAAGGAATGGGGCTCTGCATGTTCCCCGGAGCCTGCACCCCCCTTTCCGATTCTGGTCAGCCACTGTGTCTCCAGGGCTGTGATGGACCCTGGGGTGGGGTGGGGGGAACGGAAGTCGAGTTCTATACAAATGCTTGGACATCCCTGCGCCTCCACTTTCTTGTCGCTAGAAGAAATGTCGGGGTTTCGCCAGAGACAGGAACAGCAAATATTCGAGTCTGCTGAGGCCGACTGTTCTGTGAGGGTGTGAGACAGTAGGGCGGTATCGGGGCTGCGGAGGCTTTCAGGGATAGTGTGGGGAGCGGGGGTGGCTGATGGTGTGTTCGCTGGTTAGACTGTGAAGACGTTGGTGGGGGCGGAGGAGGGAGAGATGCTCAAGCCTTACATCCCCAACCCACAGTGCTCAAAAGGAGCAGACGTTTTGTAACCATGCCTCTCCATCCCGCCGTCTGCTGCAGCCTCGGAGCCCCAAGCTAGCAAGACCACAGGGCGAGGCGCTCGGGTGCGCTTGGGCGGGCTTCCTGGGAGCGCAGGCTGGTACCCACGCGCCCTGGCGATACGCACGGGCCCGTTCGCTGGGCGGTGGGCTTCAAGCACTGGGTTAGCCACAAAAGACAAGACGTATGCAGCCCAGCTGAGGAGGCTGGGCTGGGGCGGTGGTGGGCTGGGGAGGGGAGCGTCGCTTCTCCCCGCGCCCAGTAGGGCGGTGCGTTCTAGTCTCCGGGTTGGGCTGTTGGGGGTGGGGTGGGGGCGGGGAAAACCGGGGCTCGTAGCTGCCCGGATCCAGGCAAAAATAGCAGGGAGGGTGAGGCGCTCTGCTAACACTATCAATTATGCATCGTGTTGAACGTGGCTTCGGGGAGGAGGCGGCTAGCAGCGAGGGTGCGGGAAGGAAGGGTCCGTGCGAGCCGGGCGGCGCGCAGCTCAGTCAGTCCCGGGCGAGGTCTGTCGGCACCACCGCCTGCCTTTGCAGAAAGAGTTTTAAGGCAAAGACACGCCTCCCCCACTTCAGGCGTGCGCCTTTCCTTCCCCCAATTCCTCAAAGATGGTTTGTCTCACGTGTTGCGGGGCGTAAAAGAGGCTCGCATTCAATTAGCAGCAAAGCTAACGGGCCCTGGCGGGACCCGGACGTGAGGGTGAGTGCGCATGAATGTGTGTGCGTGCAGGAGGAGGGGAATGGTGAGTGTCCCGGGTGTGAACACTCACCGGCGAGTGAAAATGTGTGTGAACATAGCGAGAGATCAACACATTGGCGCGATTATTACACGATGATGGGTAATTCTAATATTGAAGAGCAACTGTGTGGACGGTGTGAGGGTCAGTGTCTGAGCCAACATGTTTGAACGGGGGGAGGGGGCTGTATAATTAAGAATAGTGATAATGTCTGCAGATGTGTAGATGTAGGGGGAACGTGGGTTATGGGAGTGTGGTGAACTGGAAAGAGCCAAGTCGAGGGCGGTGGGCGTGGGGGCGCCCCTTTGTGACCAGGGGAAGAATCTCTACGGCTTTAACAAATGTAGATGATGCGGGAGGTAGGAGAGGCTGCGCAAAGCCCCGCAGCCCGCGAGGACTCTTCAATCTGCAGCCGGTGAGAGGTAGGGGGAGACAGATGCGAAAAGGAAAACTGAAGTGGGACCGCAGGGCCAGGGGAATCCGCAACTTACCTGTCCCTTTCTCTGCCTCTCTACCATCTTCCCCTACAGTCGCAGCAACAGATGTGGGAAGCGCCCTTGGGCTGTCGTCCTGGCTCCGCGACATCGAGTCTGGAGAGGGGGTTGCAACCCGAGGGCAGCGCACGGAGAGTTGGAGAAGAGCCGGTAAGCCTCGGAGACCACTTGCACAGCCCTGACCCAGGAAGGGGTAGATTCCGTTCAGGGTGTCAGACCCTGCTGGCTCTTGCAAGCGGGAGAAGGGGGAGCAGAGGGGAGGGGCCTTCCCTCGGGAACAAGAGGGAGTGGGGATTCGGGTTCTAAAGACCAGAGTGTGGGAGGGGCTCTGCCAACCTGTCTGGAGCCCTAAGTGGGAGCGGGGATTCTGTTTGTAGGTGCGTTTGTTGTGACTGGGGATAAGAATCTTTTTTTGTGTGTGTGGGGGGGGGGGGTCGTCAGGCATCGGGCTGCAGAAGAGAGGCCAAATCTTGAACCTTCTACTTGATTAACCAGTGACAGCCACCTTGACCCCACTGGCCAGGGACACCCCCTCCCCCCATGGGAGGTCCTGAGGGGGGAGTGAGACTCTTTAGTGACGTCCCTCCATTGCTCTTGGTCACAGCTTGGAGAAGGAAGGTTGACTGAGCAGCCCTGATGGTTTTCCCCTCCCTGGAGTTGCAGCCCCCCAGGGAAGGCAGCTTTGATTGCAGCCCGAGAGGGGCCAGGCGAGTCTGCTTCCCCGGTCCCCATCCCAGTCTTCTTGCCACCTGCAGCAAGTTCACACCTTTTGCTGAGCCACTGGGATTTCAGTCTCAGAGGGCTGTGTGCAGGCGCAAGTGCCCACCTGTGTCCCGGTATGTGGGTCGGCCCACGTGAGGACTTGTGCCTGGATGTCTGTCAGTTGCAACAATGAACAGGAAAGCGCCTTGCCCCATGCTGGAGGACGCTGTACAAATGCTGTGTTCAGTTCAGAGAACAATGAGGGCTCCAGAGTATATGGTGCCTCAGTCTGGGTGTCTTTGTGTTTGTCTGTCTGTGAAATGTGTTGGGACCCCCTAAACCCCTAAACAGAAGTCCCGGTTTGATGGCAGGTGCCTGGGCTTGTGTTGCATTGTCCAGCGACTGTATGGGCATGTGTGGGCGAGTTCTGTGCAGTGGGACAAAGAGTTCAAGGGAGACAGAGGATCACGGACAAAAATAGCCTATGTATCCCTTTCACTGAGTTAAACCTGGGGTTAGAAAGAGTCAGGGATCAATGCAAAGCTCAGGGCAGACCGGGTAGCGGCCCAGCCTGTGGAGGGTCTAGCCCCAGGTTGACGGGATAGGTAGAGAGAAAAGGGCGAGGTAGGAGGCTGCTAGAAAAGGAAGTCCTGAGAGGGAGCACGCATTGAATCCCGAGACTTATTGAGCTCCAACTCGTGCCTAAGACTCTGGGCCCAGAGTAGAAAGTTACCAGAGCCCTGGGATCTGCCCTAGACAGGTTTACAGGAGGCAGAGCTTGGCAGGGGAGGGAAGCTGGAGCTCGTGAGTCACATTCTCCCCCTACCCCTCCCCGTCCTACGCCTCCCCCCTCCCTCTCCCATGCCCACCCTTGTCCCCCCACCCCACGCCTACCACCCCCTCACCACCCCCCCCCCGTTTCCACCTGCAGGATCAGCGATGGTGCCCTTGAGGGCCGTGTGTCTGGCTTGGGCGCTGCTAGGAGCGGCCGCAGCGTGCCCAGAGCCGTGCGCCTGCGTGGACAAGTACGCGCACCAGTTCGCTGACTGCGCCTACAAGGAGCTGCGCGAGGTGCCAGAAGGACTGCCGGCCAACGTGACGACCCTCAGTCTGTCGGCGAACAAGATCACCGTACTGCGGCGCGGGGCTTTCGCCGACGTCACGCAGGTCACCTCGCTGTGGCTGGCGCACAATGAGGTGCGCACGGTGGAACCCGGCTCGCTGGCCGTGCTGAGCCAGCTCAAGAACCTCGACCTGAGCCACAACCTCATATCCAGCTTCCCATGGAGCGACCTGCGTAACCTGAGCGCGCTACAGCTGCTCAAGATGAACCACAACCGCCTGGGCTCGTTGCCCCGGGACGCACTCGGTGCGCTGCCTGATCTGCGCTCCCTGCGCATCAACAACAACCGGCTTCGCACACTGGCTCCTGGCACCTTCGACGCGCTAAGCGCTCTGTCGCATCTGCAACTCTACCACAACCCCTTCCACTGCAGTTGCAGTCTTGTGTGGCTGCAGGCCTGGGCCGCGAGCACCCGGGTCTCCTTACCGGAGCCCGACTCCATCGCGTGCGCCTCGCCTCCTGCTCTGCAGGGCGTGCCGGTGCACCGCCTGCCCGCCCTGTCCTGTGTACCGCCTGGTGTGCGTCTGAGTGTGGAGCCGCCGCCCGAGGCGCCGGGCAGCCCCCTGCCCTCCGGCCTGACGCTCATGGTACACTGCGTGGCCGAAGGACACCCCACGCCCCGCCTGCAATGGCAACTTCAGATCCCGGGTGGCACCGTAGTGCTAGCCCCGCTGGTCCTGAGCGGGGAGGACGGCGGGGACGGGGCGGAAGACGGGGAGGAGGAAGGAGATGGGGACGGGCCAACGCAGACAGAGGCCCCAACCCCGACTCCAGCACACGCCTGGCCGGCTCCCCCAGCCACCCCGCGCTTCCTGGCCCTCACCAATGGCTCCCTGTTGGTGCCCTTCCTGAGTGCCAAGGAGGCAGGCGTCTACACCTGCCGTGCCCACAACGAGCTGGGTGCCAACTCCACGTCGGTACGCGTGGCAGTGGCAGCTGCCGGCCCCCCAAAGCACGCACCTGGCGCAGGGGGAGACCCTGATGGGCAGGCTCCAACCTCTGAGCGTAAGTCCACAGCCAAAACCCGGGGCAACAGCGTCCTAACGTCCAAGCCCGAAGGCAAAATCAAAGGCCAAGGCATGGGCCGGGTTAGCGTCCTCGGGGATTCAGAGATGGGGCCGGAGCAGGAGGAGGCGGAGGAGGAGGCAGGTGAGGGTGAAGAGGCGGAAGACCAGGTCCCCGCTGACCCAATGGAGGAGCAGCGCTGTGGCCACGGGGACCCCTCGCGGTACGTGTCCAACCACGCCTTCAACCAGAGCGCAGAGCTCAAGCCTCACGTTTTTGAGCTGGGCGTCATCGCGCTGGACGTGGCGGAGCGGGAGGCACGGGTGCAGCTGACGCCCCTGGCGGCTCGCTGGGGCCCGGGGCCAGGGGGCGCTGCGGGAGGAGGGCGACCCGGGCGGCGGCCACTGCGCCTGCTCTATCTGTGCCCGGCGGGGGGCGGCGCAGCAGTGCAGTGGTCGCGCGTCGAGGAGGGCGTCAACGCCTACTGGTTCCGTGGCCTGCGGCCCGGCACCAACTACTCCGTGTGCCTGGCGCTGGCAGGCGAGGCCTGCCACGTGCAAGTGGTGTTCGCCACGAAGAAAGAGCTGCCCTCGCTGCTGGTGATCGTGGCGGTGAGCGTGTTCCTCCTGGTGCTGGCCACCGTGCCCCTGCTGGGGGCCGCCTGCTGCCATCTGCTGGCCAAACACCCAGGCAAGCCCTACCGCCTTATCCTGAGGCCGCAGGCCCCCGACCCCATGGAGAAGCGCATCGCCGCTGACTTCGACCCTCGCGCCTCCTACCTCGAGTCCGAGAAAAGCTACCCCGCGGGTGGCGAGGCGGGCGGGGAGGAGCCAGAAGAGGCCCCCGGGGAGGGCCTAGACGAAGACGTGGAGCAGGGGGACCCCACTGGGGACCTGCAGAGAGAGGAGAGCCTGGCGGCTTGCTCTCTGGTGGAATCCCAGTCCAAGGCCAACCAAGAGGAGTTCGAGGCGGGCTCCGAGTACAGTGACCGGCTTCCCCTGGGTGCCGAAGCGGTCGACATCGCCCAGGAGATTAACGGCAACTACAGGCAGACGGCGGGCTGAACCCCCAGCCTACCTGGCAGCCCATCCCCGTCCCCGACCTCGGGTATCTGGGAGGAGAGGCATAGGGCTGTTATGATTTATGCCCAACCCCACCTTCACTTACTCCACCCCCTTACCCTGACTACTGGGGGGTCCAGTGGAGAGTGGGACGACTTCACCAGTCCCACCCACGACGGTCGTTGTCCCTGTGGGCTGAATTCCCCTCCAGGCAAGCACAGGTCCCCTGCACCTCCCTCCCTGTATGAGACACCATCCGCTGACAGTGAGGCGAACTCGAAGCCTCTCCATTCCCACTCCAATTATCTGCGCAATCCCGCCCGGGAGCCCACTTCACTGTGGGCTCGGAAGCCGAAGGAAATGGAAGAAGACGTTGGAAATATCTGATGGTCATGCTGTGGATCGCAGTCAGCCCGGGACCCCCAGCAGATGTCCCTGGCCTGGAGCGCTATGGGGTCCCGCCTCAACCCCCTACTGTGCCCTTTCGGGGGCTGCGCATCCCAGAAGCCAGGATTAGCGGCAATCCCCAGTTTCTAGTTTCAAAGCCCCCTCCTGACTGGGAACCAAACGCTTCTGTACTTTCATTGCATCTCCGCTTCGGACCGGCTGGAGCCGAGCCGGGAGACTGGGGCGCATTTCAGCGCCGCACTCCGATTTTCATATTTTCGTTGTTTTCCAAGACAGCGACTCTCCGGGTCTGGTGCTAACACTCCCTTCTTTGCCTCTGAGGAAAACTGGGGGGGTGTGTGTGTGTGTCTGGTGGTGGGGGGAATCCGTCTTCTCTCGCCCTCTCCCCTAACTTAAAGCGCCGGAGAACCACGCACCCCTTTTGCGCGGAGGGTGCGGCCTTGGTCCCCGGCCAATTTCGTTGTGGGGGACTAGGGGTTTCCGGAGACTCGACAGCTCCACTTCCGCCGCTACTCGCGGTCTGGACCTCAGCTCGAGAAGGGCCAGGGGTGCGGGGAGAGGGGCAGGAAGCCTGCTCTGGCCTTCTGGATCCTGTCTCCCATGAGGGGCCAGTGCCCCGGTTCGCACAAAGCTTGCGCGTGACTGTGCGGCGGGGTCCGGAGGGAGAAAAGCCACGGATGCTCGCGCCTCCCCGCCCCGCCCCTCCTTCTGCGGGAATAGTGTTCGCCCCGCTGTAGTCCTAGACGAGCGTGCTCTGTAGGAGAAAAGTCTGTGTCCCGTAAAAGTGTGTCAAGTGTAGTGTTGGGAGGCGGGCGGGAGGGAGGGCGGGGAGAGGGGACGCGGCGCGGCGACTCGGGCGGTGGTCTTTTTTCGTTCTTGCAGAAAAGCCTAGGGATTGGGGTGGGGGGTTGGGGGCATCGGGGACCAGGCCTGTCGGTGAAGCGCAGCACAAGTGCGGCCTCGGGGCGGAATAGACCTCTGGAGCCCGCGCCCTTTTCTAAAGGCGTCTGTATGATGTAAACAGTCAATAAAACAATCGATTTGGACTGGGCTTGGTGACTCTTTGTCGGGGGGGACAGAGGGAGGGGATGCAAGAGGAAACCTGAGGAGGAAGGAGCCTCTGGGACCCTCCCTTTGGGGTCCTTTGTGTGATTTTTTGCTTGACTGCTTTGTGATTTTTTCCAGGTGTTTACACCCTGGTGCCTCCAACTCCGGGATGGAGCGAGGAGACCAAGTGGGATGGGGGAGGCTGCAAGTGAGTGGGGAAGGTTAGCAGGGAGGGAGGGGTGGTTTTCTGCAGACTGAACTCTTGGGGAGCTCCGGAGTGTGTGTGTGTGAGTGTGAGAGCATGCACAGTCCTCCCTGGTTTGACCCTGTCACTATGATGGGCTGTGGCTCTGTGTGTGAGGACTGCCTCATTTCTATGTGTCAGCACCAGCTTGGGTTCTATGAGGAGGTAGAGAGGCAAGACTTGTGCACAAAAGATGGCACAAGTCCTGCAAAGGACAGAGCAGGCAAATAATGGAGAGCAGCAAAGGGGGAAACTGCAAAGAACAAGCTGGCACCTTTAGCCCAGGAGCTGTGTGTGTTGGGGGGGGAGTGGTGGTGGCAGTGATGATGCTCAGTGAAGTGATGCCTGGGCCCCTGGTAGGGCATGTGATGTTGGTGTGGGCTGAGGTACGTACCCTCAGGATTGGAAGCACACTGATTTTAGTCCTAGAAACGGGGCTTCTTGGGTGGGAAACAGGAGGGAAGAGAGATGAAAAGTGACGCTTCTGTCCAGCTTACAGTGCTGGGATTGGGCTGGTGTGTTTCAGCTGAATCTCCTCCCATCTCCCCAGGCTGGCGTAGGGAACCACCAGGAAGAGGGATGGAAGAGGAAAGGAATAGAAAAGAGTGGGGCAGGTGAAGAGTCCATCCCTACGCTCCCTACTTCTCACTTCGAGTCTCTCATCCCTCTGCCTCTCTGTGGATATCAGGTCTTCCTAACTGGATCAGGCCGGTTTAGAGACCAGGCCCAGGTCCAGACATCCAGCATCTTGTCCCAGCTGGGACACTTCCCGGGGCCAGAGCACAGTTTGCCTTCCCAGGGCAGCAGAGCTGTCTCTGAGAAAGATTCCCCTCTGAGGGCCACAGCCCCAAAGCCCCAACACTGTAACCCACACCACTGTCAGGGACATAGCTCAGAAGTATAATCTTTTAGGAAGAGGGCTGCTTTGTTCTACCTGCAAATGCTACTTTTGAGAAGGGGCCAGGAACTAGCCCGATTTCTATGATTGGTTCATGAATCCAACCACACGGTTGCATTTGAACACAGGCCTGGCTGATGAGTGCTTATCGATGTCAATCCCACACAATCCTCTCATCATGGGAGGGGAGGGTCAGAGGGCTAAGGGCTCCTTCTTGTCCCCTCTGGTCTAAGGATTGAGAACCCTCCTGGAGATTCCTAAGATCCTGCATGCCCCTAAGAGACTGTGCAGAGTTGCTGAAAGTTCTGCCCTCCTTTGTCCCAGGCCAAGCTTCCTAATGAACACACACTGCTCAGGTGGGCCTCATGCCCCCTGGATGGGCCAGGCCCAAAGGCTTGACCCACATGACAGGAATGGGTGGGTGCTGAAGGGTGCTGACACTCTGTCCACCGCCCATTGAGACACCAGCCTCTCAGGAACTCCACACTTTCTGTCCGAATATTTGTCCCATGCATAGAATGGTCCCCAGCCTCCAGCCTTCCTTCCTGTCTCTTTTTATATTTTGTTCTTTCATTTTCTCCCCCTCTCTCCTCTGTTTTTTTTTTTTCCTTCCTGCCTCTCCCCTTTTGCTTCCACAAGGAATGTCATGAAACCTCAGGATGGGAAGGGGCCCTAAAGACTTACTAATTCAACTGCTCCCCCTGAGATTCGATTCTTTTCTACACGGTCCCTATTGGGTAGCTGTGCAACCTCAGTCTATACAGATCCAGACACGGGAACTCACTGTTCACTGCCTCCCACCGAGGAACCAGTTGTTGAGCAATTTAAAATGTGTGTCCTACGCACTTCCAGCCCCCAGGGACTGACACTGCCTTGGCACGTGCTCTGTGAGAACCTACAGAGGTGTGGAAGTGAGAGCCCTGCCTCCATCCCTCTCTTCAGGGCTCCACAGTTTCTCATGCAAAGCACATTTGTGAGCCTCTACTGTATGCTTCGGGTGCTGTGCTAGCTAGCTAGCTCCAGTGCATTTTGTCATAAAGCTTGTTTGTGTGGGAGTGGTGTGTAATGGGTTGAAGAGACAGACAGAGAGAGAGAGTCTAAGTGTGTATAAGGGGACCTGGAAAATGGTCAGAGAATGCAGGATGACAGCAGTAGCCTTGGAACTCGGAGCAATTTATCAGGAGCAGTAATTCTTTGAGCTACAGAAACCAGATGCCCAGGATGTGGCCTTGAATCAGATCGGAAAACTGTCTGCAGAAAGGTGATTTGAAAGGCGTGCCCCCCTCCCCGCCGCACAGCGTCTCCTAAAGATCAGCTGGAAAGAGAACCATCTTGAAGATCGTTAGAGAAAGTCCATTAATACAGAAGGACAAAAGGAGGCAGAGCTTCTTTGAGGAAGCAGCAGCTGGTGCAGTGTCCTGGGCTTCCTGATCTCCTGTCTGGAATGCAACCCCCATCACCCCCATGAAACCAGAATAACGTCCACAACTAAAGCTAACATCTCTGAAGATTACCTGAGTCAGTAAATGTTGGAATTGCTGTTCCCTGGTGGTGATGCTAACCTTGGATTTCCTTCTGGGGTATCAGGGTGATGTATTTTAGTACATAAAGGAAAGGGGATGGATGGCATCTTGCTATGGCTGCCTTGTCCCAGATTTTTTTTTTAAACATAAGTTCTCTAAACTCTACTTTCTTTTTTGAGGATTTTTCTGAAGGAGTATTTTTTTTCTTCTTATTTTTTTTTTAATTTAACTGTCAGGTCTTAGTCATGGCGAGGGGCTTAGCTGCCCAATGGCCCATGGGATCTTAGTTCCTGCCCAGGAATCAAACCCACATCCCCTGCATTGCAGGGCACTTCACAGGGAAAGAGGGACCTTCTGTCTGCACAAAAGAAGGCATCATCTATAAAGAAAGAACCATGACTGCAAGAGCATGAGCAAAAGAGACTGGGGGACCTTGTCCTTCTAGGGATTATATGTGTTCTCTGCTGAAAAGGCAAGCTCAGATACAAGTAAGAAAGGCCCCAGGTAGAGGCCATAAATTGCCAAGTTTGACCTAACAAATACCTTTACCTTATAAATCTCCAACATAAAGATAATGACAAGAGCAATTCTGGAAAATTGAGGATGGAGCAACCAGAGCCACTTCAGTTGTAATGTGTCAATTAATTGATTGTATTTGCAATACACCCACCCACGCATATGTGCTCAATGACAAGCTTTTGCCTTAGGACTCAATAGTGAATAAGATTACATTGAAAATGAAAGATCTGCTGTGACTGGCATACAAAAGAGATTGAATTATAAAATGTCTTACAATATTAGCATTTATTTCAAAATATGGCCAGTGTTCCTAATGAGACTTGATATGGATTAAAAAAAAAAAAAAGCCATCCAAAGACCCCATGATGGGTAGACTTGTTGGTTTAAATTAGTTGGAAAGATTTTGTATCATCTGTTGGTTGAATAAGCAATTTAGGTAATTTGAAGATGGTATGATTTTTTAAATTGTGCTAATTGCATATGCTTTGTCTGGACATGTGAATGGAAGTTCAATAATTAAGTTCAAGTCCACATGGAATAAGGAGAATAAAAGTGTTTATATTTTTATCAACTGTTTGCTGCTTAAACATTTCCCCTTGTGTATTAGGAGTTAATTTGGTTTTGGCAAATTAGACGCATTTTCTCTTAGCAACACTAGCAAACTGGTCCTTAAATTGAGTCTAAAAGCCATTCAAGGCATCCAACCATTTGTGAGAAAAACTGCCACAATCACAGAGATCAGAGAGAAACTTCATAAGAATTGATCAGTGTTGAAATGGAGAAAAGAATGGGAATGGAGAATTAATTACCAATGCTTTGTAATAAAAGTGGACTATCATGTATTAAAACTGGCTGAAAACACTACTGGTCACCAAACGTTAATAAAAATATTAATAATACCAATACTAGCTAAGACTTATTGAACTACCATATTTAAGACACATGCTATAGAACTTGTAAGCATTATTTTATTAATCCTTACAATAATCCTGTGAGATGATATTATTTCCATTTACAGGCAGAGACCAAAGCACAGACAGTTAGTCATTTGCTGAAGGTCACATAGCT